ACCGCAGTTCTGATCAGTCCATGTCACGGAGTACAGGTTTGCAACAATCCAGGTGCAGTTTTTCCACCTTGACGAGAAGGCTCTGTGATGGAGACGGGCCGGATTCAGGTTGCGACCGTGACAGTAGATACTTTCGTGTGTGCCACCGCCGAAACTGAATCCCAAGCAGCTGCAATAAAGACCACCGTCGGGTATGGCAGAAACTCAATTCTCGCAGGGTGGACGATCAGGGCATGGATCGTGGACGTGGCGCCGTGCGGCCCAAAACGGCCACTGGGCCCCAACGCAGGGTTTGGACTTGAGACTTCGGAGGTCCTGGTCAGAGATGGAGATGGGGGGCCCTTTCCGAAGCCAAGGTTTCCGCAAGGCGGGCGGCAGAAGAACTGCTGGAGTCCGTGCGGCGGCGTGCCCTGGAGGCCGCCACAGGGCTACGAGCATGTCCAAAGTTCTTTGCCGCGCACACGACGCATCCACACGAGGGCTTGAAGAGGCATCTTTCTGTCTGTTTTCGGCTCGAGGGGAGGGGAAATTTGCATCAATCTCTTGCTCTGCATACTCCCTTCATTCACGCTCACTAGAAACTAATCCTTGTGCGGGCCTCAGATGCGCCCGGCGACGCGCAACGACGCGCGGTGCTCCCGACTTCCGGGCGATCCGAGCACCCAGGTTTGGGCTGCCAGTTTCCAAAATGGCTCGGACCCCTGAGTGCACTCGTACAAGAGAGGCGCTAAGCGGAGCGATGACTTTGCTGAGGCTGTGGTCTGTGGATCTGGGATGGATGAGAGGAGACTGGGGGAGAGTCGGAGAGTCCCTCTGCAGTCGGAGCTTTGACCAAGCAAATGATGAGGACCCTCGCAATGGTGCAGGGCCTGTTTGCTGCGGCCCCAACCACTGCTCGGTAAGGATTTGGATTGCAGTTGGGTGTTGCTTGATCTGAGTTGCTACTGCTATCATGCCACGACTGCAAGTCGGGAGACATCACTTTCAGGCAATGATCTTTGGAGCTGCCGTCCTTAGTCTTTTGAGTGAAGCGCAAGTCTTTCCCAGGCAGGGGGCCTGGCACTGACATGGGTGGTTTGGCGTGGCCTTGATTGCTGCGTGCTGTTGCAGGCGCTGCGTATGCCAGACTGGTCCCGGGATTTATGGCTTCTGCGAGGTCGTGCTCCTAGGAATGCGCGTGCAAGCTGTACACGTGAAACAGGTGAAGGTGGGGTCGCTTGCATCGGCAGATTTTGAGCCGCCAGGTGTGGCAAGATTGCCGCACGGTCATTAGCTTCATGATGGGCGCGCTGATATGCCACTGTACCAGATGCTCTAAAGGTGGGACTTGTGGGGCCAGACTGAAGCGTTTTGAGTTTGTTCTCGCGTAGTTGGAGTTTGGGAACAGGAGATGATGATCACGAGCCAAGTGGAAGGACAGATCTGCGTCCGTGCTCATGTGCGGTGATTGCTAATGGGAAAAAGTGTACTACTCCAAAGCTGACAGGAAAGGGCTCCATCTGTCCATGATTTGGTGACAGCACGTCGAGTGCTCTCGGTAGTCCCTTTTGTGGCAGCCTCAAACGGACACTATGCTAAGAGTCCAAGGGTTCTGAAGCATGGCGGTCCTTCTGTCCAGGTCGACGATGTCTTGCGTTGCTCAACGCGACTTGCACAAGCCTGGCGATCCAGGATATCGACCAGGCTAATTTCCTCTTGGGACTTGCACTGATAGTGTTGCAATTTTTGGCGAAAAGACCTCGAGCTGGCTAGCTAGGCAGCTGGCCCAGCCCAAGGCTCGGATGCCCTGGCTATGGGGCGAATTTAGAGATTCTAGGAGGGCCCACTCAACCGTCCGAGGGCACCAAGGCAGGCCCTCAAGATCACGAGTTTGCAGCGGTTCCGACTGTGGGGTTTCGTAGTGGGCTTGAGGAACGGCCTTGGATCCCTTGCAAAATGGATAGAGCTAGCTGCGAAAAGCAGTGCATGGTTCTTTCCACCTTTTTAGCATGCCGTAAAGTGTACTGCCACCTGCTTGCAAAGCTGCGGGTTGATACACTTCCATATCAGATAGTCCAGGTCTATAGTATGTCCACAACCGTCTTCTCTCTATATTTTAACTTCTCTTGTTGGGCATGGAGAAATTCCCATCGCCCAAGATCCCTTTCCCGGGCGCCCGCAATTGCGGGTCGATTGGGAGCGGTTCGCATGGAGGGCCCTTTAGCAGGGATGGCGAGTCAAGATTCCCGAAGCTTGAAGCCTTGGGAACCTGCCTTCCGGAGCTCGTAAGTCTTAAGTCGTCATGAGTCATTACTTTGAGCCATTCTCCTGCCATCTTCCACGGGATCCGCAGGCAAAGGGGTAGAATTCCGACCAAAGTGGCCGATGAGCCAGTTTGCAAGGATGGCATTCAAAATCCGCAGCAGGTCATTGGGCTTGGCGGGCTTCGGGGCTTGGGCCGAGAGAGCGCACTTCCGGGCAGGCTGAGGTGGACCGGCTGCGCTCCGAGCTAGCCTCCACGGAGGCCGCAAAGCAGCGGCTCCAGGCAAGCCCACAGCCAAAGCAAGAGCGTGTTTTCGGACTTCAGTGTTTGAGGCTGATGAGGCCGCAGAGGCAGAAGCCGGGGCGGAGGCGAGCGTCGGCAAGAGGCTCCGAATCGCAGGAACATGAGAGCAAGACTCAAAGCCGCAGGCAGCAAGGCTGCTTCGCGAGGCCCGCCTGGAGGTGACACGCCTCAAGGCAGCACTGCAGAGGCTGGAGAACTCCTGGTGAGTTTCACCGGGGATGGTGATACTGTCGGATCGAGACGAGGGTATTCGTGGTGACTGTCAAGCGGTGCTGTCAAAGTTCAAACAGAGAGTGTGTGTGGGTTGGAAATCATTCCTTCTCCTCCTTTTCCTTCTCCTCCACATCATCATCGTCATCACCATCACCGTCAGTGTCAGCAGTATCATGATCCATATCGCCATCACGATCATGTTCAGGATCGTGATCATGTTTCATGTTCATGATTGTGACCATGATCATAAGCACGAACATCATCATGACCATGATCATGATCACAGGTCCCGTCTTCTGTACCCACCCCAGAACCCTAGACCTCGCAGCTCAGCATTCCTCGAGTTTTACCCTTGGCATGAGCCTTCGAGGCAGACAGGCAACGACAAGCTCGTGAAGGAGGCCGGGTCACTACGACTACCACTACCACGACCACTACTACGACCACCACTGCTGCAACTACTACTACTACTACTACTACTACTACTACTACTATTACTACTACTACTACTACTACTACTACTACTACTACTACTACTACTACTACTACTACTACTACTACTACTACTACTACTACCACTGCTACTGCTACTGCTACTGCTACTGCTACTGCTACTACTATCGCTACTACTGCTGCTACTGCTACTACTGCTACTACTGCTGCCGCTGCTGCCACTACTACGACCACCACTGCTGCTGCTGCTACTACTACTACTACTACTGCTACTACTACTGCTACTACTGCTACTACTGCTACTACTGCTACGACTGCTACTACTGCTGCCGCTGCTGCCACTGCTGCTGCTGCTACTACAACAACTACAACTACTACTACTACTACTACTACTACTACTACTACTACTACTACTACTACGATGGTTTGATGTTGATGATGGTGATCTTGATGATGGTGACGTTACCAACGAAGGCTGCAAAGCTGACCTGGCCATGAGCAACAACAAGATTGAGAGCAGCAGCACCCAAGAAAGCATGAACGACGAAACTGGTAAGGATGAGCAAAGGGCTGCAGCAATATGTGTTGTACCATGAAAGTCTGTTTACGCTCGTGGGAATGCCGAGTCTGGCAGCCCCCCTAAGTTGTGATCCGTGAGGCAAATGCGCAGCATGTGGCGCTGCAGCAGGAGCCGTGCTGCGGATGCATGATCTGACGGGCTAGGACGCTGTTGTCTGCAGACGAGAGCATGCCTGGGTTTGAAGGCGGCCCGAACCTCATGAAGTGTGAGCATCTGGCACCGGAAGAAAGAGTGCATCATCAGTACATCCCTCGCAAGCCCTAAGCCCTAAGCCCTAAGCGCCAGCGCCAGCAGCCAAGTGGCTCTGGCTGTGGCGGTTCGCTTCGCTTCTCTTTCAAAGAGGCTCTCCGGGACGTAGCTTCGCGTCGCGGCTGGGCAGGAGCTCCGGAGCAGCCAGGCCGAGGCCGCGCGCCGCGGCGAGGAGAGAGGGAGGGAGGGCGCCTCACCGCTCAGAGCGGCTCTGCGAGCATCGCGTGGACATTGCTGGGATGCTTGCGCGGGCTGTGAGGAGGTGCGGCGAGCAGAGGCTGCGTCTGGGAGGGAAACCTGGCGGACGCGCTGGCCGAGCAAGATAGATTGTTTGGGTCGAGCACGGCGGCGGACATGTCCCATTAATTGTCTTGGACCGTATGCATGTGCACGGTGAGTAAGCTATCCGTGCAATGTGAAGGCTCAGCAGCGCGAGCTTCAGAAAGAGCGTGATGAGGAAAGGAGGCTGGTGGCTTCGTCCAGTATGCACAGCCATGTCAGTTCAGATCCGGGGAACGAGCCCACAACATGTTTGCCCAATGCCTGAGTTGTCTGTTGCGAGGCTGCGGCTGGAAGGAGAAAAGAGGCGAAGTGCACTCCGCAGCTTCAGTCGGGGCAATCTTGCAGTCATCGCAGCCCAGCCCTAGCCAGGCTCGGGCAACTCCAAGGGAGCCACCAGCGGCTCGAGGTGGGGAGCTTGGGATCTGGCGAGCTGCAAAATGCCCTTGACCTGCGTTGCAGGAGGCAGAAGCGCTTCGAAAAGAAGCCGTCGGGTGCTAAATCGAGGGGGTCTCCCTTTTGCTTCCGCACACTTTGCCTGCTTTGTCTCCGTTCATGGACACAGAGGAAAAGCTGCTGGCAGACCGAAAAGAGGCCCGGCGGGAGAACTGCAGCATTTCGCATTTCGCATTTCGTGGCAATGGGTCCGGTCGGACGCAGCCGGTATTCGGCTTGCATTAATTAAAGGGTGAAAAGAGCAGGTGGAGCCGAGGATAATGGGCAGTTGGCCAGGAAAAGTCCATTTGCTCGGCTCGAGCTGTGGGGCGCAAGGGAAGTCAGAGCTCCAAGTGTAGGACAGTCAAACCCAGACACGAGGAGGACGGCACCAGCACCATGGGTCCACAGATGCAGAACCCCTCTTACAAGATCGCTGAACAGTCGAAGCCGGTGCAACCTGGCCTCAAGACACGAAAAGGACCGTAGAGGGGACGGAGGCTGAAGTGAGGGAAGGATGTGCCGGACATCACAAACGACAACAGCCTCTGCGGTGCACTGGCAGAGTTGTCCGAAATCGAGCAAGGACGGATCTGCAATGCAAGCTGAGTAGGTGCGGAGAGGCACCTCAGGCAGAAGCAAGGAGAGTTCAACCCTATCTGTGAAGACAAGGGAAATCTCGATCCGAGCTCCAGACCAGGAGGGAAGGACAGCATGATGGAAATCAAGCCATGGTAGGACGGTGGAGGCATCACGAAAGGTGCTGATGCTGGCCGCAGGAGCAACAAGGTGAGGTACCAACCACTCAACTAAATCAATGGACAAGAGGAAGCGAGCAGCTTTGGTGTGCCAACTGGCCCATTGCACCGGCCATTCCTCGTCCTGGGAGAGAAGATCTTGGAGACAAGCATGCCAAGCAGCGGCTGTTGCTCGAAGCCTAGTGCGCTGCAAACACACAGTACAAAAGGCGAGCCGAATCTGTTCAAGGAGGGCAACATACGAGGCGGCTCCATCCTCAGCATGGCAGAAAATGGTCTCGAGGCTCCCAAGAATTTCTTCGGAAGGCCGGTCCGGCTCCTGAACGAGCGGTTGAAAGCTCCAAGGCTTGGAGGGTCCGGAGGCCTGCATGACCGGGACAAGTGAGTCATCCCCTGTGTCAAACCGCCTGGATCCGCGTCCAGGGAGAGGCTGAACCGCGTGTTCAGCAGAAGTGAGAGCATCGCGGCATCCGCGATTGTGGCGCAGATGGTTACAAAGCCTTCCATTGGACGCAAAGGTCCGCAAACAGACAGGGCACTGAGACCCATCTGCGAGATGTCTTTCAGGGCGAATTCGCCCATGGCGTTTAAACGCATGGTGTGACCATGCGCGTAGGTCAGCAAAGCCCTGCTGGCAAAGAGCACAAATTTCAGTATTCGATGCAACTGATTGGGCGATCGGGGAGCAAGTCGCCCCAGTTTTGTTGAGGGCACGCAAAACATGACCATGGAAAAGTTGGACTTCCGCGGTCCACCGATCCTGGAGAAGTGCAAACTGCCTAGCTTTGCGAATCCAGGACTTCCACCTTCCAGGGGAATTGCGGATAACCTGAAGGCAGTCATCCCACACGATTGGTCTGCCGGGGTGATCGGCACGCTTTAAGCAGTCGACGAGCCATTGGACGGAGCCCTCGGCAAGCCGAAGCCATGTTTCCTCAGCATGCAAAATGGCCCACAGCTCACTGGGACCCAACCTCACAAGGAGAGCTAAATGACGAAGTCGCTCAATATGCACAAGTGTCCCAACCTGAGGAATCCGAGCAAGTGCAAAAACGAACCCATGAGGAAGGTGGCAGGCTTGCTCGAAGGAGTAGGAGGGCTTCAACATGATGCGTGCCATTTGGAGGAGTGCGTGCTGAATTGGAGCAAGGTCCTCCTGGCCGAACAACGTCCATGTCCCAGAGGCGAAGGCGAGTGTCGAGAGCACAACTGACTCAAAGATGATTGCTTTGTCCCGGGCGGAGACAAAGGCGGACCCAAAAACCCGTTTTTGGTGCTTACGGAATGCAGTCCAAGCGTGTCCCACACGGGTCTTTATTTCAGGTTTTAAAGCTCCGCTATGATGCACGATCCCTCCTAGGTGGCAATACTTCGGGACTACCCTAAGGCGTGATCCAGGCCACATCTCTGAGGGGATGTCGAGGCTTGGACCAATGCCAGCAAATGCTTGGATTCTCAAGGATCGGGCGCCTTTCCCACGTAGGGAAAGGACAGTCTCAGTTTTTCCTGGACCCAAGTTGGGCATCAAAATAGCCCGGACACATTCATCGAGCATCGTAGCGGCAACTCTCCGAGTGCCCTCAAGCACAGCAGATGCAGACGAGGAGTAATAAAGGAGGGCACAATCATCCATCCATGTGACATCGGCAGGGGACTGTGCGGTAAGCCCCGAGTCTGAGCCCTTGGTGAGGGAGGCCTTCCAGTCCTCACTCCACGCAAAACAACACTGCAAATCAAGGTCCTTGAGCTTCTTCCTGATGCGGGCTAGTACCTCTGAAAAGAGGAAACTAAAAAGGAGATCTGCCAAATTGTCGCCGGGTCGCGTACCCCCGCGGACGGCTGCGAGAGATGATGTACGTTCCCAAGTGAACCAAGTGTCACTCAAGACCTCAGTGAGAGCCCCGGAAAGCCACGGATCCGCACCTGAGTCGGCAAAAATCGGGGTATCTCGAACATAATCCTGCAGGCGACTGAAGGCATCCTCTGGAAAGCAAAAAGTGTGCAGAATGCCGACGACATTGGCATCATCAAGAGGGCCTCCTGTGAGCAAGGGTCTCACGACCCTATGGAAGGCTTCCTTGAGGTCTAAGAAAACAACGGCGCTCGAAAGACCATTGTTCTGGCAAAAGCTCTGAAAAGAGCGCACGGTATGATTTGCAAGCTGAACAGGATAGCCTGGCCGGCCTCCAATTTGGAGGCTGCCGGCGACAGAGTCGAGGAAAGGGGCTGCCTTTCGTCTCAGCGCGCTGTGGAAAGCTTTTCCCGGCGCGCTCGAAACGAGGATACCTCTGAAAGACTCGCACTGCCGCATGGAGCCCTTGCGTTTCCAAATGGCAAAAAGTGATCCTCCCTTCCAATGGACCGGCTCAGCAAGACGATAAGACGCCTTGAGCGCAATTTGGAACAGTGGAAGAGAGACAGAACTGGCTTGCAGATGGAGAAGATCGGCAGGGATACAGTCGTTCCCCTGCGACTTTCCGGTGGGTGACCGCCGCAAACAGTCCTCGAAGAGACAGCGAGAGGGGACAATCCGATGGTCAAGAGTAAGATCAGACAGATCCTGGGCGGTCTGACGGTGCCGACACTGCCGGAGGAGAGCTTCAGGCGTGGTTGGGCCACCATCCTCAAGCTGGCTGAAATGGCGGATCCAGCGGTCGGTAGCCTGAGCATGGTCCCCTGCAACGGTACCATCCTCAAGCTCAACGACAGGGAGGGACAAAGTGCCCCTCTGCTTCTTCTTGGGAGGCCCAAGTAGAGGACGAAGCTTCACGATGACATCCTTGGCAGCACTCGAAGAAGCCGACACAGCAATCTCATGTAAGTAACGACTACGGTCACTGACAATAGACCGTTTGAGGAGGGGCTTAATTGTCCGAAGCTCTTGCAGATGCTGGCGAATTTCAAGGACACACGTGAGGAGTGACGGGACAAGGGGCCGAAGCAAGCCGGTGAGGGTGCAATGGGACCGGAGAGCGTGGAAGGCCCCACGTATTTCAACTGTCCGAGCCCAATGTGCTGAGGTATGGAGCCGTTTGCGAAGCCAAACTTTCTGTTGCCTCAAGTCCCATGTAGTGCTGGAGAAGTGGGTGCGACGGCACCGAGCACGTCGCAAAGGAAAGACAGCTGAGAGTCGGGCACGAAAGTAGTTGGCAAGGATTTCATAGTGAACATGGACGTCAAGACCCCACGGGAGCAAAGGAGCAGCTTGGCAGATGTCCCGGAGTTGGTCACTGGATTCTGGCTGAGACATCAAAAAGACATCACACTGGGATGGTCCGGGACGACCGCGCAAAGCATCACAGGTCTCAAAATAGCAATCCAGGGCTGCAGCAAAGTGATCAAGGCCAGTTTGGCCAAAATCGATATCATGGAGCACAAATGAGCTGTCAGAGCCAGCATGCCAAGCAGCGGGAATGGCAACATAGTCAATGCGACTGGTAGCGGAGCCAGTGGGCGAGACCCACGTGTGACTGGCTCCACGATGACAGGCACTATATGTGGCAGGGAGCCAAAGATCGTGGCGCTGGAGGATGTCAAATAAAGGACCTGGTGCAGTCTGGTCACTATCCCATACAAGGTCGCCGATGCGAGAAGGCAATTCTTCAAAGAATCTCGTGTTGTAATCACCAACAAGGACAACGAAGTCACCTTGGGCACAGGTGTGCAGCTTGTTGCGGAAATTCGTCCACCAAGCAAGCCTGTCAGGATGGACAGCAGACAGGGCATGAATGGCAGCGAAAGTGATACGTGTCCCGCCCCGAGCAAAGCGGATCAACAAGTATCGTGGGTCCCATGCAAGGGCTCTGAAATCCTGATTGTGAAAGTAGAGAGGAACCTCGCCAACCCAAGCAAAGGGATGCGTACGACTAAACCAGAGTTCGACACCGCCATTACCCCTAGCATCCCCTGCAGAAACAAACCTGTAGTGAGTCTCAGAAATGCTAGTGGAGGTCTCCTTCGCTCGTGTTTCTTGTAGGCTCGTGACAACTGCTCCAACGGATTCAAGCTGTTCTCTGACATACCTGACTCGTCCAGGGGCTGCGTCACCTTGCCCATCCTCAAGGGTTTGCACGTTAATGGTAAGCAGGCGAAGGCAGAACCTGACAGTTGTAGAGTCAGCAGTCTCTGGCCGGGCAGGCGAGGAAACCTTGAAGAAGCTATCAGCTGGGCACCAGTCAACACCGAAGACGTCACTGCCAGTGGGGTCAACGAGAGCAGCCCCGCGATGTGTGGGCCAGGCCCAGGGAGCACGCACGGCAGCAACATGCAACCACACCCATTCGATGCTGCCATCAAGGATCCACTCGGTCAAAATGGCGAAAGTGGTTGGGATGCGGCTGGTGCCTGCTATCGCCTGTTTTGCAAGAGCATCGACTAACTCATTGCGACCATGACCCTGGTGGGCCCGGACATGCAGGAAATCCTGGGTACGGATCCGTCCAAGAGCTTCTGCGACATAACTTATGGAGCGGCAAGCAGTGGCAATAGTGACGCAGGCAGTCGCCCCATACCGCCCACTGGCCTGCCCGGATGCAACAAGGGAATCAGACCAGATTGTGCATGTGACGCCATCAGCTAGGCGAAGGGCCCAGACAAGTGACCAAAACAATGCGGAGCTCTCCCCATTGCTCGCGGAATGATGTGGCACCAATCCAGAACGGCTCTGCTTGCAGAGCAACTGGTCCAGCAGCCCATCCAAGGAAGATCCTCCGATCTGGAGTTTGCCCAAAGGCAGCAAATGACCAAGAACTGAGCTCTCCGTTGTAGGATCCATCGGTGAAGATGTCGATGGTCCGGAGTTGAGAGCAATCTTGTGGCCGTGTGCTTTCGCACTGTCCCAAAGCTTGAACTGCTGCAGGATGCAGTTGGATACCGGCGGGAAGTTGAATCTCAAGATCCCACGATTCCTGTAAGACTGAGAGGACGGCATCAATACCGAAAGGAAGGCACATCGAGACCTCAGAAAGACTGTAAGAGACGTGCTGAGGCAGGGCTTGCGAAAGTGAAATGGGAACGGGCTCATGTTGTCTAGGTGTACCTGACACAGGCGGACTCTCACACTGGCTGGAAGCCTGGTGTTCAAGTAAAGCCTCAAGTAGTGTCCAAGCTAGGAAGAGAGGATAATCATTGCTTTCTGCTCGGCTGCATTCAAGCAGCGTTTGCAATGGCAAGTCACTCACAAGAGCCCAAGTTGGAACATGTTCGGGGCTCTCCCTGGTGTCAGCATCAACAAGTATGGGAGGCCGCCAAGGGAAGGAAGGAGCCGAACCACGGCAAGGCGTTGGCACTGGTCTGATATCGGCAGTCCCAAGCGGATAATTGGGATTGAGTGTTTGGGGAAAGGCGGCCTTATCAACACCAGGAAGCTGAACTGCTTCGACCCAGGAGGAGCTGAGTTGCGCATAGAAGAGGGCAAAAACGCACACCCAGGGCATATGGCGCACTGCCCACAGGCTGCACGAGAGCAGCAATTGTCCAATGGCAAGGCTCAAAAGGAGTACACTTGGGAGGCCGGCTGCATCATCAGAGGTGTCCCCAGGTGGCCCTCTCGGAAGGGCTTGAAGAACAGTTACCCAGTTCCACTTGACGGAAGAACGGCTCCCACTAGTGAAAGGCCTCAACCATATAGCACCGGCTCTGGCACAACGATGGTGAGAGGCTGTGGCGTGACCGGCAGCACCTAGGGTGCGAGTCGTGGCAGCAGGTTGATAACCAGAGCGCCGTGAACCTCCTGTGCCGGCATCATGTCCAGTTGAAGTGCCAACAGAGACAGAGTGACTGGATGTGGCGGCAGAGTCAACCTCGTCCCTTGGTTCTTCGGAACCATCATCATCCTGAGACGGTGGACCGTCAGGAGGCGGCATGCTACTTCCATCTGTCGAGTCGGGAAGGAAGCTGCACGGAAGGAAAGTGAGGATCAAAACATCAAGATCCCGTACACAGATGTCCCTTGTGACATGATGTACGAAGCCATCTTGCTCAAAGTAGCACAGCATAAAGCCTGCGGGACAACGGCTGGCATATTGGGCACGGAGTCTCGCACAAGTGATAACACCTCCAAGTACACGGATGCATTCGACTCGCAGCAGGAGAGGCCTGGCATCAATGAAACAAACTCCTGAGCGTTCAACTTGCGATCCTGCATCGTGATCAGGAGTTAAAGCAGCAACAACAAGATCCTGAACAACACCAAGATGGGTGTATGCAGGAGCAAGGGGTTCAGGCGAACACAGAATGAGCGAGGCCTCAGTGGCACCAATAGCTGCAGAAAGATCTCGTTTTAGCAAACCTCTTCGTGCAGGGTTGATGGTAAAAGAGAATGCAGCCTGTGGGCCGAGAACCCAAGCATGCTCCTGCACAGTAATGGGCGGAGCCCAAGAGGGGTCCCAGTGGTCGGCTGAGCTGAGCATGGCAGACAAGGTGGTTGTTGTGAAGTGAGGGCGTCGAGGAGGCACAAAGATGGCAGTATCGCCATGGCTGACAGAGACGTTTACCCCATGTTGAATGGGCCACGGAATATCTTTGAGATAGACGTCGAGATCAGATTGTGGCGAGAAGCCGGCCGCAAGGAGCAATCCCTCCCTATGGACAAGGCCTGGGAGCTGCGCAACATGAACACAACCATCGGCTCTGGTGCCATCTAGGACAACTAAGGCACCAGAGGGATCCCAGAGAGGAAGGCCTATCAAAACCGCAATCCCCTCTAATGACTGAATAGGAACGTGGCACACCCGGGGCAGATAGCTACGGATAGCTGGATCTCTTGCAGCACTCACAGCCTCAAGTGCCTCGGCAGCCCCTATGCCAAGTGGAATCCGAACCCGGACAACTTCGGTTTCATAGTGCTGTCCGAGGATGCAGAAGACTGCTTCGGTAAAGGTAGGTGGCGCGGCAATGTCGTCACCGCCATGACCACTTGGTGGGCCAACGACATGGGCTGTGGTGGAAGGTGCTGAGCCAGAGGAAGAGTCATTGCGGTCAACACGGGTGGTGGAAGCATTGTCGGAGGTGTCAGCGCTCAAGGCAGCAGCAGGCCCAGATGTGTCGGCGGCTCCAGCAAGGCTGCTAGCATAGTCTGGGGTCAAAGGCGCAGCTCTGGAAGGAACATACTCAGCAACTAAGACCTGGCCAGGATGAACTGCTGCATTGCGTTGGGAGCTCGGATGGCCAACAAGAACGACCCGCCAGCCCCTCGGAGCATGTCCGTCAAGGATGTCAAGAAGTGCCCATGCATCAACGCGGCCTTCATTGAAAGGGATGGTGAACCAGTCATTGCGTAGTGGCCTACAATCAACAATCACGCAGAAGGCGTTAGGATCAGCATGGCCTCTCTCGACAACACCAATAACAGCCCGGACAGGACAGCCTGCAACAACACAGTCAGTTGTGCGGGGATTAGCTGGACAGAGCGTGAAGCCGCCAATTGGAAGGCCGAGGCTTGCTGCAATTTGATGTTTATACCTGGTCGGACAGGTAACATCGGTCTCGTGCAGGATGGTCTGACCTTCGTAGATCAACCCATAGGCATTGACCTGGCAGGGAGGCAATGTAAAAGGGTCATCACTCCACCATGCTGGGTTGCCAAGGCAGTCAGCAAGTGTGACTGATCTTTCAGGAGGAGTCCCTGCGGGCACAATCCTTATGGTGTCCCCGGAGGTCAGGTGCAACTCGGCCCCTTCAGGCAGTGGGACGTTGTCTGATCCAACATAAACATCAAGCTCGGTGTGAGCCGACAAGCCAGCAGCATGCACAAGAGCAAATCGATCAGCATAGGAGCGCCCACAGTGGGCGAACAGACGACCATCGACAAGTCTTGTGTCAAAGCAGATGGTGGGCGGCTGGGGGCCCCAACTGGGTTCAGCAAGAAACAATCCAAAACCAACAAGCGGCTGTGGGTGCGCTGGGTGCAAAATCGGAAACTGTCTCCTTGCCGCGGCAGGACGAACTTCTCTGATAGCTGCTAAAGCCTCTGGCGGAACAGCAGGGAGTGTAAGGGTGACTTCTGCCTGGTACAGAGTGTATGCAGGTGTGGCAGTGGCAACGAGAAGGTAGATCTGTCTGTCCTCTGACAGTTGCACAAGCTCATCCTGCAATCCTGCTGAGTCAGTCTCTGTAGGCTCTCTGTGATCAAACGGAGCAGTGTACGTCCAGTTATTATGTTCATGCGTACCATCACCGAAAGTGGGTAGAGTCTCATGCCATTGGGAGACATGGCTAGAACCCGAATCACCAAGAAGTTTGAGACAACAAGGGCTAGGGCAAAAATCCCAGAAAGAACCAGAAAGTGCGAAAGCAAGCTGGAGGCTGGGCACAAGCGGCGGTTTCTGCACTTCAATGGTAAGCGGGACTCGGAGATCAACAAAGATCTCGATTTTTGCACATCCAAAACCAAGAGCAGCGGAACAGAGGGATAGGGTGGTTTGATCAGCAGCGCCCCCAGTGCGTCGGGGTGACCGGCTGCGCGCCCTTGTGTCGACGGCTGCTCCGGGGGTCTCGGTCCCTGCACTAGATGGTGTGGTGGTGGATTCTGAATCAGAGTCCTCGGCCTCGCTGTCGTCGCCTTGGGAGGACTCATCATCTGGTTCGGGGGAGCCCTCTAGAAGATCGTAGACAAACCGCACGACAAGGATTCCAGCTTGTTGCACGTGCACGAGCGTGCCCTCGGTCTGAAGCTCATGCCTGCCACCAGTGATGCTCACAGCGTACCCGGGGGGGGCAGCAGGCTCGAAACGGGCACAGAGTGCATCAAAGTCAAGAGTCCCTTGGTCAGCTAGAACCCATTCTATGTCCCTTAGTATAGGCCTTGCATCGATGAGAACAATGTGTGGGCCAATCTCATCAGCTTCACCAATTCGTTGGGTGGCAACAAAAAGTGCCTTGCAGGTGTGACCGACATGCTCAACATCCTCAATGGCAGGGTTCGACTGATGCAGGGCAGTGTCGTTGAGGCGGTAACCAAGTTGCCCAGAAATGGCATGCCGAAATTCAGAAAGTGTATGCGCAGGGTTAGGCTCGTAAGAGACAAGAGCAGGGTTGGAATCATTGAGAACGAGCACGGCTGACCGAACAGGTCCTGGATACATAGGACACGGGTGTGCCCAGTGACGGTCGGACCCTAGGAGCTCCTCAAAGGTGAAAAGGGGACCAGGTCGGCGACCTCCACGCAGAAAAGTGAGCAGGCCCCCGTTTTCCGGTTCGATGATCCTATCATTCGGCAAAAGCCTGTCGGCGAGAAAGATGCACAGACCTGGCTCATCAACGATCGCAACAGCAGCAAGAAGGGAGGCTCGTGACAGCTGGGCTGGTACGACTAAGCTGAAAAGGCGGCCATCTAGATGCCGAAGGTCGGCCAGCACATGACACCGAGCTGTTGCCCATTCTGGCAAGGACAAGATACACGCAAAACGGTTGTCTGGCTGAGGTTCGACCGGCAAGAGTGTATCAAAGTACAAGGACTGATCTTCGTTCCTGGCATCCTGTATCTCATTAAGTGCGTCCTCAGGATCGCAAGGAGCTCGCATGACCAAGGGCAAAACCTCAGCCCGATACCGGGGCGCAAAAACAAGAAAGTGGCCATGGAGGAAGACAGGGGGAGGTACCCCTTGGGGCTTAGGCCGAGTATAAGTGGTATGCGGCGGGACGTGGGCCTCCTCATCATGGCGAGCGGGAGGAATGACAGGGCGATGCTCATCGACTGCCCGCTGCCAAGGAACTCCCTGGCAACCACCTGGTGCTTGGTACGGGTTGCGCATGTCAGTAGCAGCACCACTGGTACTGTGGTCCTGGTCAGACCCACCGGAAACAGAAGGGATGGAAGGTTCAAACTCAACCTGAAGAACGCCCCCATTGTAAACCCAGAATGCAGAGCCGCTTTTTGAAAGCCCACTGAAAACCGGCCGATAACCCCGAGGGGGTCGGTGCTCGAGAAATTGCAGGAGGTCAGTCTCCTCAACTTGACAGTCGCTGACATAGCGGAAGGTGAGCTTACCTCCAACAGGTCTACAGTCAAGAAAGATGATGGCACCTGAAGCAGTGCTGCCAAGTTCAGTGGTGGAGCCTTGGCGGGCTGCGATGACACCTGCAAGGAGAACTCCCTGATGCACAAAGGGATGGAGGGTAGCCTTGTCAGGTTTGCAGAGCATAAGGCGGTCTCTTCGGCAATGCAACGCGCTGGCTGCATGAGACTCGAGGGTCTCCTCAGAATGTGCAGGGTGGACTATGTCCCGATCAATGCTCGGTGCCAGGACAAGAAAAGAGTCAGAGACCTCTTCACTGACAATCTGTCGGATCTCGGCTGTCAGGAAGTCAAGATTCCTGAGACAATCGGCAGAGGGAGGGTGCCAATGCGGTCTGTCATAGACAGCAACAAACTTCAAAGTGTCACCTGTGACTACCCGTATGGTTTGGTCAGACCGTAGAGGGTCCGGACGCCCGGTTTGAAAAGCATCCCAGGGGGATATGGTATGGCAGGCGGCGTGTTCGAGGACCTTGGCATGTGGAAGATTCCGTTCTACAATGGCGGCATAGACAGGCCCTCCAACTGCAGAGAAGTCAAAGACAATCTCAGCGCATGAGGATTGCTCTAGCCACTGTGGCACAAGGAGAAGCGAAACATATCCCTCTTCTGGCTGAGGTTCAACGAAATCAAGGTCAGAGGCGAAGAAAACCCTCCTTGGACTAAGTGCAGCAATGACAGACTGCAGGAATAACACAGGGTCTGCAGGGACCTCGACAGGAACTTGCACAGATTGAGTAGGGTATCCCGGCGCAAAAAGGATACACTGCACTTTGAGTGCGTGGCTGGTTGATGCTGACCCGGCGCGGTGGCCGAACAGTTCATCTGTGCCGGACGCATTGGCTCCGGACTGAGCCTGAGGGTCGGGTGGCAGAGGATCAGGTCGGGTGGTTGATGCACTGCCATATGTGGCGACTCTGTGGTCGAGCCCCGGTGCAACTTCATCTAGATGATCCCTTGGTATCCGGAGGGGCGCTGCCCAAACACAGACAGGGTGTTGGAGCAATGCAAGAAGCCACAATGCAAGCCAATGGCCTACCTTAGGTAGTCTCCGAGTTCGGCTGGGGTAACCTCCTTGCAGCCCTTTACTCGGCCTGTTGTGTGTGGTGCGAGGTCGGGGCAGGCCGAAGGACTGACTAGGGGAGAACCCCTGGAGACAAATGAGAAGCCTAACCGAGACTCCTTTGCAAGGAAGGCCAAGGAGTCGCCCTAGAGGTTCATGTCTTTCTGGAAGCTGTCTCCAAAGGCAAGCATACAGTGCAAGCGCAAAGATGAACAAAATCGCCCTGCACAGGGGCACTAGAAAAGTGCCAAAGTCAAGCAGGAAGTTAAGAATCCTGTCGTTGACAACAGAAGACTTGGGATCAGACCCAAAAAGGGGGTGACTAAACCTGAAAGGTCTAGGGGATTCGGGTTGTGTGACCAGCTCCCCGGCGGACGCCCCAGAACCACCGATACGTCTCTTAGGTGCTCGGGGAAACTGGTCTTCAGCAGGGATTGGGCTGTGCTCAATCCCCTCGAGTGCAGGGGCAGCATCAAAATTGAAGGTCCAATCCCCGCGAGGCGAAGCCGATAACGGATATGGAGTGCAGCCAAAAATCAAGGCGCTTGAGCTCCAATCCGAGAGGCAAGAGACAGTGCAGGCAGCAGAGACAGTGGACCTCAAGTGCACGGAGGCGTGATGGAGGAAAGGCTGGCCAGGCAGAGGGATACCAGAAAGGGTGCAAGTCCAGCACCCATCCAGTTTCCGCGAGGAAGAAAAGAACCCAATCCCAACGACATCGATCAAGTCAAGAAAGATGTCAGATGGAACAGGGTCCCACGAGGATGCGCCAAGATTGCCCTCAAAAATGTCTCGGCAGAAAAGGCACTCAGGGGTGCCGCAGAAGCAGGTGCCGTCGGGCAGGCAGACACACACACACACAAACCCAGTGTGGTGTGGCATCCCGCAGTGAAGGTGGGCAGCCCAGTGACCCTCCAGAGACAAAGGAGGGCCTAAGGCCACCAGAGAAGGAGCAGTCAGAGATAGGCTGCCGATTGGCTACAAAACTGGGGTGAAACCGCAGACCTCCACGGACTTCACTCGCAACGGTTCCAATGTGAGGGCATTGACCGACGAATGTGCAGGCAGATGGAGATTTCGCCCAAGAAATCTCACACCGCTCATGCTTCACCAGTCTGCCAACACAGCGGCCCCGATGCGATTGACTCCGAGAGGTCTGCCTATGGCATGTCACACCATGTCTGCTCGCTAGCCCATACCATCCAGTCCAACCGGTGTAACACCCGTCTGGTGATCGTGCTTTTCCTCGCTCGGCATGTCCTCGTCGGACCCAACAGATTGGGTCGGAGCCGGTGTCCGACCAGCTAGGCCTGCAGGCGCTGAGGAAGGGATGCCGAAGGGTTGCATTGCCTGTCTCTTGGCTTCCAGCTTGCTCGCCAGCTTGTCCCCTGGTCCCGGGCCAGTGTGGACCGGGTGGAGTGTAGCCCCCTTCACCGGTTGTCGTGGGGTTGTCTTGCCCCTTGTGCCCGGGCTGGCCGCAGCATACCCAACTCCCATCTCCGGGTGGCTGGTCGACGGCGACGGTGGAAAGGGCACCTGCTGTGTTGAAAGACCTGGCGGAGCTGCAGTCGGTTCTGCAAGAGGAGGCTTCCCAGTGCCTGCCTCCTGAGCATTCGCCTGTCCCATTGCCGCGCCAGGCACACTGGTCAAACAAAACCCTGGGGGTAGATTTGCCAAAGTAGCCTGTAGCAGTTGTGCAGCAACCTCCGGGGACATGATCCGGCCACCTGGGATACCACCATGGGGATTGTGTCCTGCCGTGGCTGCAGCCGACAGGGCATCTTGAAGAAAGGCCTCTGGCGCTGCTGTTTCCTCGGTGGTGCCGATAAAGGCATCCCATGCATTCTCCGCTTCCTGGTCCACAAGCTCTCTGGTAGGTTTTTTGCCGTTGGCGATATCCTGTACCTCCCGAGCCGCAGTCTGGCCTTGTGAAGTGGCCTCCTGTACTTCCGTCTCGATACGGGCCAGGGCAGCCTCGTATCGCTGCTTCTGCTTGACATACTCCTCCTTGTGGCTTTTCTCCCACAATTTCCACTGCTGCTTCTTGCGGTCCCGGTCCTCCTTGAGCTTCCGCACTCTGATGTCCGCTTTTCTCGCACGCGTGACGGCCCGCTGAATGTCCGTCATCATATCCTCGCCTTCTTCTTGGAGCACTGGTTGACCAGACTTCCCCTTGCCCTTGCGGGCACTGGCATCTGAAGGAAGTGGCATCTGATCGTAGTGCTTCTTGCTGCGTGGAGAGGCTGTCGGTTGGGCTCCGGGCCACAATTTCCACGGAGCTCCCTGGCGAGGCGCATAAGAGGAAGACGACCAGTCCGACCAATCCTGTGGCTGCCATGCCTTCTTGCCTCCCATATCACAAGCCGCAAGGCAATCAGTAGAAGCTTCTCTGTACTGCGGCGCAGTGTGGTGTGCTTGCAGCAGACGGATGTCTCGGCCAAAAGGCCGATTTCCCAAAGCCCTTGCACTATGCAAGCGACGCCTAGCCTTTGCACGCTTGGCTCGAAGCCGACGGTGCCAGGATGGCGAGGAGGGCAGTCTGAAAGCGGGGCGTGTGCCTATGCACACTGGGGCTCTAGGCAATACGACTCGCTACTGAGCCGTTCGATCCCAAACCCTGAGAACTGCAGAGCCAACTACGACTAGCCCAGTCTGATATGGGCTTGGCTGTTTGCTCCCATCAACCAGACGGAAAGATCTTCAGAGCTGACAGTGGGAGCTTTGCGGAGTCCAGTCATGGATCCCGAATTTCCGAGGAGCTGCGGCAGCTGCAGGACGGCTCTGAACCTGAAGTCCGTGCCTTCGGGGTCTTGAGATGCTTAGAGCTTGAAGCAGCTGCAATTCCGGTGCTCTGCCATCTGCCATCACAGCAGCATCAGCATGAACACATAGATTGAGCAGAGTCAGATGTTTTTGCATGCAGGAATTGTTGCAGACAGAGCAGTGCCTCGGCAGCTTCAAGAAATCCGAACGGGCAATGGGACTTGCTGTAGGGCATATTAGTGAGGAACCGGCCACCGCGGGGATTCTCCGCTGTGGGTGCTGCTTTGGAGGTCTGCTCGCTTGGACTCCGACCAGCGCTGCAGCCAGACCGAGGTGGGAAGGGCGCAGGCTGCCAAGTACAGCAACGACCGAAGTAGTGGCGGCAGTCGTCGTTGGAGGAAGCATCCTACACGCAGCCACCATCGCAAGAAGCGAACAACTGTAATAGCAGCAGTTGCAGTCGTGGTGGTGCTGGTGGTGCACTCTTGCCCAAAACATGGCACGAAGAGAATTGGTTAAGAGACAGACGGCAACTAGCAGGACCAGAGTCGTCGCAGATCCGACGAGCTCGAGCAGCTCCGATGCCAAAGTGCACCCCGGCCGAAGTTTCTCGAAGGTCGCTTTGGACCCTGTTTCCGGATCCTGCGAGCGGCTGTGAGCATCGCTTCCGCCGCCCAGGCAGAGATGCTCCGGCGCGAGAAGCAGGCCAGACGGCTACCAGTACGACGGGGCCGTGTAGCTTGTGAAAGGGGGCCTTGCGTCAGCAATGGCATCTGAACCTAAGCGGCATCAAGCCTAGGAGAAGCGGCGGCATGAGGAGGCCTACGAGGAAGCGAGGACGGCCGGCTCTCACAAAGGGAGGAGGATTTAGAGGGAGGGTCGCTCTTTTTTCAGGTGGAAAAGGGTCAGAGTCAATGAAGTGAGGGGATGGAGATTTGCCAGCAAGAGCAAGAGCAAGGCCACAACTCGAGAAAGATGCGCTCTGCTAAATACACGACGTGTATTTAGACTTAGACGCTTCGAGATCTCGAGATCTCGCGGCTTCTCCGTTTTCTGCGGTCCATCTCATTCTCTTCCGACCCAGGGCATCTCCCACGGAGCGAAACTCGTCTTGGAGCGCAATCTGAACCACACAACCACAGATCCCAGTTCTTCTGTTGACAAACGGCACGCCCAACAGTTAAGATTGTTCAAAGTTAGGTTTTTTGAGCCAAGTATGAATCACGGATCCGAGTGCAGGAATGCGCAGAGGGACTCCGAGGAGCAGTGCAGGGCCTTGAAGGCACCAAAGTAAGACTCTCTGATTGCAGGCTTCTTGACTTATTGGGGTTTGACTGTTGCAGGTTTAAGATTTTAGGGTTTAGTCTATGTCTTCTTGTACGTTCAGGGATAAGGGTTTTCAAGTTTCGAGCTAGCTTGATAGCCACGAAGAAGACGGGAGATTGAGAGCAGTGGCGAGCGTGAGATGTGGCTATATCAGTGATGGTCGTGCTAGCCATCACGTTTTGACGACAGTGCTGTTACTTATATCCGTGGCGATTCGTACATTCATCAGGCGGATCTCGCACAATGTCGGAGAGAACTGGATGTCGCGACGGAGGACGAGACTGTAAACCTCAAATGTTCTCTACAACAGATTCTATTGCCGGCTTTGATGCTAGTTTCGCCTCAAACACAGCATTCGTTTCTGTATGGCTTCAACGTTTGATTTGCATGGCAGGTTGAGAGTTGAAGCACCGGTATGGGAGCTGCATAGGGTGTGCGCGGAAGTTGCCTTTTTATCTGTGCTCAAAGTATCTCTCGAAGCTTTCCTCTTAAGCCTGCATTCATATGGCCAGCACATGGTCATCCTGTCAGGTTAGGCTTAAGCCGCATTTTGTGGGGGATGTTCGCAGTTCGCTCCATATTGCTTGAGGAGCTGGAGCGCAGCAAAGCGGAAGGCGAAAGCCTCCAGGCGGCTCTGTGCACCGGTCTGCATCTCGTACACATGCGTCAACGGGTTTCGCGATGAAAACCTCTTCTGCTTTCGAAATTCTATGCTTCCCTGGTTGGGGGTTGGCAAACTTTCGGTGCGATTTGGAGCTGTTCGTGTCTCTGAAAGTCTTCGAGATGTCACTTACATAGCCGCCAAGATCCGCCAAGTAAGCCGCATGGACCTGCTCGATTGTTAATTCTCAAGTTCGAAGTCGCAAGTGGTTCTGTAAAAGAGCATCAATTTGCAGACCCAGTCATTGCAAACAGGCACGCCAGCTGCTGTCCACGCAACAGCAGGAGGTCCGCGGCTTGGAGTGCGCTGCAGATGTTGGGAAACTCTGCACCTCGGCCCTGAAGGGAAGGTGGAAGGACGAAGCTGCTAAGAGGCTGGAGTCTGAGAGGAGGCTCGGTTGGGTCCATCACTGTGTGTGTGGGGTTTGGTACCAGAGGGCCGGGTACAGGATACTCAGTACTGCTTGCCGCGCACAAGTGATCGGCCTGTCACTAAGCATGTGCAACCGACAGCCCAATCCGAAAGCCGTCGCCCCACCGGAGCCAGGGTGACTTCACTTCAAGCCAGCCTGGATGAGTTGAGCAGCGAGAAGGTGAACTTGGAGGCGGGATTTGTCAACAAGGCTTGTCATCCGACCAATGACCTGCAAGACACTTCCAAACCTTGCTTTGTGGCTGATGAGGTTGTTGGGGGGATCGGGTTGGGGTTGCATGGCTCCGACGCCCTCTACAAAGCGAGGGCGAAGGGCTCCCAGACAGAATCCACAGTCCGAAACTCTCTGGCATCGGGCCGCGAGAAGTTGCAGTATGTTGCAGTTGGATTCGTTGTGATTTCGGGTCATGCTTGGCGTTGCTCCTGTAGCCTACAGTATCTTCAATCTTCAGCCCCGCGACACATTTAGAATTCCGTGCAGCACGCAACCCGCAAGGCGCAAGTGCGAGACCTCCAAGCAAAGCTTGCGCTGCAAGGCCCATGCCTCAGAAGTTGGCTTTGTGCCGGGCTGTCGATTTTGGCCCCGAGCACATCGTCTCAAATATCATTTGTTGAGCATATGGCAGGACTTAGATAGCGTGACAGCGTGACACTACGCTCTTTTGCTGAACAGGCTCAAGGGCCGAGCATCTGCCCAAAGCTCAGAGTTCGTCTCACGGGAAGCCGGGAAGGGCACCACCGCGGAAACCCCAAGATCAGCGCCGGCTCGCCTGTGGGCGCATGCTCTGTGCTTTCATGAATGGCTTCCAGGCAAGAGGAGTTGCGGCAGCTTCAACAAACCGAGGAGAACCACCGTGGCGAGCAGGGCCGTGTTCTTAGGAGGGTCCCAGAGTCCCGGTCCCAGTCGTCAGGAGACCTGGCTGCAGGAGCGAGCAAGCAGGGCCCCCAGGGTGTCCGGGGCTCCCGGCAGCCTCTCGAAAGTGTTGCTCCGTCCAGGGGGGAAAGGATGTCGTCGTAGTGGTCGTAGTCAAACGCGGGTTTCGGTTTCGTGGCGACACGAACCCAGGCCTGAAAACACAGCTAACCAGCCAAAGTGCTGAGCTGGAGATGAACGGATCCGCCACTTGGCTTCGTGTTTTGAGTTTCTGCATGCTTTGATTTCATTTTTAGTGCGAAATTGCAGAGGCCTGATGGGTTGAAATGCTGGAAGTGTGATGGTGTGTCTTTTGAGGCGCTTGGAGGGCTTCAGCAGCGACTTGAGACGGAGCCCAGCATTTTCGGAAACTTCTGTTTCCGCAAGCACGAAGCGGCTCGTCTGGGCTGGAAGTGTTTCGCGAAAGGAGACCCGTCTCATGCAGCAGAGAGAGGAAGAGGAGCTGCGCGGATGCGCAAGCAGATGCAGCATGGATGCAGTGTGGTGCGTTGAATGGCAAGACTCCACAGGAGCGCAGCCTGCGCGAGACTTTGCAGCGAGCACAAGCTGCCCGATGCTCGGGCGACCAGAGCCAGCAGTCAGCCAGTCAGCCGCGTTCCGGGAAATGAGCCCCTGAGATGTCCCGAGTGCTGCAGGACTTGGCTTCCGAGCGAAAGGCCTTGCAGGAGGCACGGGCAACGGAAAGCAGAAGCAAAGCCTGGCAATATCTGGTAATTGGATGACACAGGAGAAGCGTCTGGGACGACAGAAAGTGGAAGAGGAGATAAGCAGCCAGCTGGTTACCTGCATGGCTGCGCAAGAAGACGAGTGACTAGGAGCGCACTCTGCGAGAAAGTCTGCAGCAAGTCGAGGCTGTCCGAAGCTCAGAGATCGTCTGCCGCCCTGGATCGGAGAGATGAAGAACCCAGAGTCGGCGAGACTGAAAGGACTTGGCATCTGCTAAAAAGCAGTTGCAGGAGGTGCGCTAAGGATGTTTTCAGTTCCATTGGTGTTGGTGGTTTTCGAGCGAAGCTGAAGGCTTTCTCAAAGCAAGATGTGGCAGCTGTCAGCTCCATTAGTTAGTTGCAGTTGTGCGTAGGTGTGTTGCCACTGCAATCGGGAGGAGAAGCGCCTCGTGCAGCAGAAGATGGAGGAGGCCGTGGATGTTCCGACACTGAGGTTCTTGGGTTCTTGGAGATTTCTTGGTTCAGCCTTTTCGGCTCAGCTCTGGAGGCTGCCCCGTCAAGGCTTCCCTCATGC